AAGGCTGAGATACAAGGAGTGACACATAGCCATTGTCTTATGTCTCAAGGATTATGTTCGTAATGGAGATGGTATATAATTGATTGTTGAATAGTTGGTGTTATAATTCGTTGAGAATATCTTGAAGATATGTTTCTATTTTATTCACGTTGTTTGATTGTGCTTTTATAATAACTAAATTCAATAATGTCGCTTCGTATTGTTTCATTTGTGGAATGTTGCTAATTTTGTAAATATATTCAACAGGTATATATGACGGTAGATTAAGAGCAGCACAAATGACTTTGTTCTATAAAATTTGTAATCGCTCCTAGATCTTATCACTTGCTGTGAATAGTACTGGAAAGCTATATGTGATGATGATTCTTACTATTACTTTGTATATGTTCAACATAATTTTATCATTAGGTTCAGGTATTGATTTTGATAAGAAATGAAGAAGATCAATTTGATCAGCTGTTCTTGTTGAATCAACTGATTTTATAATTTAATAAATGATAAAACATGAAATGATCACAAGGATAATGATGAGATATAGGAAATCGTAAAATCTCCACGTAAGAGAGATGAGACGACACAACAACCAGTTGTTCTTTTTGTGGTTGTTGTTGTAAATAGAAAAAAGAGAAAAAGAAGAAGGAGAAAAGGCGGAAATAAACAATGTAACATTCAGTATGTATTTGTACAAAAACATACCAGAAAACTAATCGGAGAAAGAGCAAGAAAAAAAAAGATTCTTTCTTTTCATCTATTACCGCATTTTGACTTATTAGTAACATCTCTTCTCTTTTTATCTTACATTCCTATTTCTCTATCATTCTATATGTAATAGGAAAACTCAAGACAACAATTACGTGATTAAATTTCAATATTGAATCAATATTTTATATAGATTTCAAGTGACCCTAAATGCAAATGTTTATATTCCGTCAATGTGCATGAGGAGAATTCAAGTATTTTTATATCAGGATCTTGTTGTATACCGTCTTCTCTATTTCTTAGTCTCTATTTCTCCGTTTTTTCTTTTTACTCAGCACATATGTTGTTAAATATTTCTCTTTATCATATCGATATTTTTCTTTCACCCCTATAATCTGCATGCTAGAGAAGAGCGATTTGTTGTTCTCGGATGCATTGTCATCATGGTTTATCTCTAATACTTGTCTATGTTAAGATTGATGTAATAGCAAGAAATAAACGGCTAACTCCAACAAATAATTACTTTGACAACTATGCACACAAAAGAAAACCAGCAATCGATGATGACGAAAGACAATGCACGATATATTTTATGCTCTTATTTCTGCTATCTTATTAATCCAATGCTGATATTTTACTAATAATGTTAACCATTAAATATATTTCTTGTCACCAAACTCGACAATCAAGTAAACAGATATAAGAAAAAACAAGCTACTTCTGCAATATAACACATAAAAAAAATATTACTGAAATCTAAAGCAAAGTATTTTGCATAAAAAACAATGATGACTACTAATAAGTATTGTGAACTATCAATTGACAAATCAATGTATATATATATATACTTTTCTGAAAGAAAGGGTATTACATTTGAAATATGTATGTATGTTTGTCCGTCCGAATCAATTAGAAATGATCTTTGCTATTCATCAGGTTTTCTGCCATTCTGATGACACTTGGCTATAGGTTGTTGGAGGCGAGGAGCTCGAAAATGAGGTCGAATTTTTGATCTCAGCTTTCATTCGCCGGAAAACTGATCAATCAGAAACGAGCTTTTTTCTATTCTTTTTCGTAATAAAATAAAAATATAAATGTAAGTGTAAGGATAAATTTTTCTTCATCGGCCATAGTAATTTTTTTAGAAGACTTCTTAATAGAGTGCTGAACAATTCTGATTTGGTGTGTATGTGGGTGAGGGTGAAGAGAAGTCTGTTCCCAACATTCATCAACAGTCATAGCCACAACCACCTACATCCTATATGACACGAGCTTATTCTAATAATTCTGAACAATCTCTGTTTTACTGGAAAATAGCCAATTATAGGTCACATTAGAACAAGGAGCCTATCTGGATGAACACCATTTTGAGGACTTAAGCGGCTAACAATGTTTCTAATAAAATTCTTGTGCTTGGAAAGTCAGAAATAATCATCTTGAACGATCACTGAATGAAGTATTTTACATTTTTAGAGGCAAAAAGAGGTTTTCGTGGGTTTCACGAGAACACTAGCATCTTATAATAGAGCATTCTAGAAAGGCACAATTTTTTTTCTGAATGATGATTCCAGTCTAGCTTATTGTTTACAATCATTAGAGATCAAAGTCTAGCTCTATAAAACCCTTAGTTCTTGACTTTTTCGAAAAAGGGTGGGTGTGGGGTGTGAGGTCTTCCTGTGACTATGGCATCTGGCTACAACTGACCAGAACTTCCACACCCATACTCACACCCACATCCTAAACAAACGGTCATTATTTGTTTATTTTTTCAAGATTCTAGACAAATAGAACTTATTCTTCATTTACTGGTGTTTCATATAGAACTATTTGCTCAAGTCTTAGTTATGAAATCAATTGTTTCTTTTCCCTATTACAGATCGGAGAATTTGCTTAGAATCGTCTCATAGAAAAAGTTGTTGAATCCTATCGAATTTTGCTAAAAATATTAAAGTTTTATGTTCGAATCTGAGTTAGTGTTAAAATACGTTCTTTGAATGTAAGAGATCGCCTTCACTTTAGATCAACATCCTAATATAATTCATCATTATCATATAGATCATGCTCTACATTCTGTATCTAGTCCGTTTTTATTTATTTTTCTCCCTGAGAATGGTTTTGATATTAGTATCAACAGAAGACAGTAGTAAAGAAAGCATGCCGTTATTTGAGATATAAATAATGATGATGTGAGAAGTGTGCTCAGCGCAAACTGATAGAAAATCTTTGTTGCATCACTAGATATTAATAATAGGAGTCTAACCAAAACTATCATGAATCGTTTACAATTAAAATACAAAACGTTCTGTATGAAAAAAGTCGATCGTTTTCTATATTAAATAATGAATGGCTAGAATATTTTATATCTTTTCTCAACTGTTAGATGACAAAAAAAAACATTTGGTTGAATAGATTTCTTTAAATTGAAGTTAATTTCAAATAATTACTGAAAAACTTGAAACACTTTTCTGATTTATTTAATTAACTGTAAATTCGTTCTTATAAAAATAATCGAACATAATGCTTTCATATAATGGATAAGCAAATAACAGAATTATTTTCATGATATTTAATAAATAGAAAAAGAAGCATAAAATGTTTGTGGATATCATTTAAATGAATACGAATTTCATTTCCTATATGACAATAAACTAAATACATTGTGAATTCACTATGAGAAACAATGATTTGACTAGAATATGATTAATACCTCTCGCAAACATGTCTTTTCGTTCTCAAAGTTCAAACAGAGACAAAGTGAATACTTGAGCGAGAGTTGTAAAAGTGATATAAACTGTAAAGTAACGATTGAATACTCTTTAAAATGATTTCTGAATTTTGTAAAATAAATTGTAGTGATTTTATGCGAAAAATAATCTTGTCTTAATCTACTGTATTTTCATAATTTTACTCAGACATGTATAACATATTTGCTCTTACTAAAAATAAAAGTATGCTCATTGAATGATTTAATTACTTAACTTTGTGTAAAAACAAAATGTGAATTATATTTTCTTTCTAGAATTGTATCTTCTCATGAATTATCACTTAGAAAAATGATATATTTTTATTGAACAATTATTCGAATTGAAATTTAAATTGAGTCTAAAATATTTTTCTAGCTAGTACCCTGCGACCACGAGATCGAAATAAAATGCATGAAAAACTACTTGCTCAGGGTGTGGGTGTGGGGATATGGGTGTGGGTGTGGGTGTGGGGATATGGGCGTGGGTGTGGGTGTGGGGATAT